AAAAATCAGTGCCAACGAGAAGATGAGAGTAATTAAATGAATCATATGAGGCAGTTCAGTTGATCTTGATATTGGCAAAAATTATCAAATTCACTTTGTTGAGAGGCACTGCTTGATCTTGCTTTTCAGGAAATCAATGCGAGTAGCAATATTTGTACCGGGAAATCTTTCTATCACCGCTTGGCACATTTGCTTCATGCTGACCTTCAAAAGGTCCAAGTGAAATAAGGAATCAATACTGGATAATATAAGAAAAAAGAGCAGACACCAAAAAAGCGTACAGAATCATCTAGAAAAAGAAACACAAACCTGCGCCAAATCAAAAGTAGCAAGCAGCTCTTCAATTACGGTCTCAAGTTCCTTCTCAGAGGGACTGTTCTGAAAATGTGAATTTTGGATCATGTAAGAGCAGAAGCTAAAGAGATACCTCCTGTGATGTCTCCTCAGAGGTGTCTGAACTATCGTCATCACTATCCTAGAAATAATCCATGTGAGATAGAAAACTCATGACAGATATAAATATATATATAAATATACATAAAGGAAACATACTTTTTTTGACACTTTCTTAGACTTCTTTTTCGCGGGTCCTGAATCATCATCTGAGTCCGTTTTTGAAGAAGCATCCTTGACTTCTGATTCTTTTTTCTAAAAGAAGAATGTTCACATATCTTTGTATAAAAGTTCGACCAAAGTATTAACAAGATCATATTAACAAAATGTGACAAAAAAGAAGCTCAAAAAAAGCAGTACCTTTTTTTGCTTCTTAGCAGTGGCTGGCGTCTTCGGCGCTTTCGCGGACGTTTTCTCCTTTTTCCCTTCTTTCTTCTTTTTTTCCTCGTCCTCCTCTTTTTTCTCCTCCTCTTCATCATCATCATCGTCGTCATCAATTACCTAAGACAAAAAGATATAAAGCAACCCGGGACAATAGGTACGCGAGGCAACTTACTTCGTCTGACGCCTTTGATCTCCTCGCTTTTTTCGCTGAACCTGGAGTCTTTGCTGTAGACTTGCGTTTCTTACCAGGCACTTTACGCTCATGGTCAACGGTTTTCATCATGAAAACCATAATAGTGGTGACCTGCAACAGAAACAAGCCTCTACGCACATATGGTTACGGTTGAATTTTCCTTACGAGAGCATCTTTGGTGTTTCCGCCGCTTTGAACACCTAGTATCTTTTTCATTATTTTGAGCTGATCTAATGTCAGTTTTTGCAAGTAAGCGACCTTGTGCTTGAATTCTGGGGTATTTTCTTCGAAGGCAAACCTGAATTTATCAATTGCTAAATTAGCTGGAAACATGAATACGATCTGATACACCGTAAACAATCAATAAAGTTGTCAAAAACAGAACAAGGTTAAAAGTCAGTGAGCGAACTAAGCGTACCCAGTAAACTTGCGAATTTCTCTCCTGATGGTTGAAGCTTTGCCGACATGGCCATAAATTAAACGATGAATATTTTGTAGCTCAACTGCGCTATGTTTCTTGAGCTGGTCTTCGACTGCAAACGAATAGAAAATAGTAGTCATAATCTTTTCGAACATAAATCAACATAAGTCAAGAAATGAAATGAGTCTGCTTACTGTATGCTATTTCTCCAAGTGGTACGCCGTTTCCCATCTTTATTTCAGTAGCAGTTTTTTTGGCTGTGGGAGTACCGATAGAGATGCGTTCAACCTTATGACGCTCACGTTTTCCTTCTACCTCCAACGGCATGTCGAAAATCCCTAAAACCTTATTTGTAAAACTGTACTAACTAAGAATTGTAGCAAGCACCTTTCTTTTGTTCATGTTCTTCATTTTCCTCCTCCTCTTCCTGTTCAGTTGCCTCAACATTCCCTTCTTTCTCTCCCTTCTTTTTATTCTCTTTCTTAACAGGTGACTCCTTCACAGGAGATCCCTTAGTTGACTGTGTTTTCTTGTCTTCTTCTTTTGCAGGTGACTCTTTGGTCGCTGTTTCTTCTACGGAAGCAGATTCATCGGACTTCATTTCCTACAAGATTGACTGTTCACCATGCTGAGTTTTTTACCCTACCATAAAACATACCCCTGTCTCTACTTCCATTTTTTCCTTAGCTGCATTTTCATCCGCTTCTGTCGCAGCTTCTTCAGATTTCTTAGGCACAATTTCTGAGACCTTTTCTTCAGGTGCTATAACATTGGCTTCAGACTTCTTCGGACTTTCCATTTCTTCTACAATATTCTAAAAACAAAGTTTTCTAGCAATATTCCATAACTAGAAGGATTTTACGCGAAA